TAACATAATTCTTTGTCTTTCTCTCTTTTTTTTTTTTTTGGTCTGTTTGTTTGTTTGTTTGTTTGGGGTTTTTTTTATTTTATTTTTTTAATTGAAGGAAACCCCCATCTCCCCCTCTCAACCTTCCCCCACCACCACCTTGGCTGACTGACAAAGTGAGCAGAATCCATGTTCTCACACCAGCGGGTATCTATTACATGAGAACTTTCTTCTGGCGCCAGGAGGTATTTAAAGAGTTTGACTGGCTATTCCGCAGGGGAAGCCCTGCTGAAAGTTGGGGATACCTGAGCAAAACTCACTGCTGGCCAAACTCCGGGCCAAGCAGCGATCACACTTGATAATGTCTCGTTGCCGTTATCGCACTAGAAATGGCGGGAAGAATAAGCAAATAACAGGGAGCGGTTTCTTTCCTCGGGGAAGTTGTGCTCGTCTTGTGCTGCGGGGTGGAATTCCCTTCGGGGAAATCAGAGGCTCGAAGGACAAACCCGTGGGTCTTGGGTTTTTTTGTTTTGTTTGTTTAGGTTGTTTTGGCGAGTTTGTTTGTTTTGATGTTGGGGAGGGTGTTTGTTTGTTTGTCTGGTTGGTTTTAATTTTAAAAGCATGTCTCCGCTTACGCTCAGGGTTGCTGAGCGAGGAGCACCAACCCTCCCCACAGCCCAGGTAGTAAAACCAGCCCCGCAGTCGCCGGCGCAGCACACCAGCGGCTCCGCTCCACTCCTATCGTCTAGCAACTCCCTCCGGCAGGATTTTCCTCCTGCAGCCGAGGGTTTCCTCCGCCAGGCCCGCGATCGCTCCAGCCACAGGCTCCTCTGGCGGCGAGAGAGCGCTGCCCGACCCGCACCAGGAGGTCGCCCCTCAGAGGCAGCCCCGGCCCGCGGGATGGTGTCCGGGAAGTGGAGGAGGGGGGGCTCACAGGAGGCCTTTGACCATGGCTTGTAGTCCCTTCACCAAGTGAATCACTGAGCGTGTCCATTGATTGCAATGTTTGCACTCGCTAGGCAAAATAAACTCTAGTAAATACTTTTTTGTTTTTTCTCCTTCCAGGGGTTCATTTGTCTCCTGTTTGCTTTATTTGACATGGCTTGACCCACTGAGTAGTTTTTAATTTTCTTATATGGTGGAAAGCCACTTTTTAGAGAAGCCCCCTCGTCTGTCCCCCCCGCACCCCCTCCCCTCCACCCCGGCCCCAAGGCACACACATTTCATTTCCAGCTCGGGTTAGCGGTTCCTGCCTTCCCTCGTAACAATTTTAGGATCGCCCTAGCCCGGGGGAGCTGGTCTAGCTCACACGGAGAGGCGGCTGACAGGGCACCGGGTCATGGGCACCACGGCGCTGTTACCTTAGGAAGTGACAATACGAAAGGGAATCCTTTAGTGGTCCCCCGATCCGTACCAGACCTCTGGCTGAGGGCAGGGCATCCAGGGCACTGGCTGTAGCAAACAGCAGTTAGAACGCCTGGTTAAAACAGGCGTTTTAAACGGGGACAGAATTGGTGGGGGAATGAGGAACACCACATACTTCTCCCTTCGTTCGGTGCCTTTACCGGGGGATCTGAGCCATGCATAGGCGTCTTTGCTCTAGGTGGCATTCAGCAAAGGTAAAATTCATCCACCTGCTTTTCCTACTGGACCAGCAATGTCAAGCATCCATCCCTTCGTGGCAAAAGCCTTGCACGCCCTTCACGCAGCCTGGATGTGTGTTTTAGGCGCTTGTGGAAAGACGAAGCCTAAAAGCTCTTGCCAGACCCCGTTCTCATCTCCTCCAGGCATCCCGCCTTTCTCACCACCTCGGGAAAAGGAATAAAACCACCCTTGTTACATTGAGGTCTTTCTGAAAATGTGTAAGAGCACTTCAGGTCGGGGTGAAGTCACTCGGTAACACTGCTGCGTTCGAAGACAGGACAAATGTCAAAAGAAAGCCTTATTTAAAGCACTAAATCGAGAACACATCATCTTCTTTCTCCACCCTGCTCTGTCCTTGCCAACACCCCAGAGGATGAAGGCGAAAGACACGGGGCTTTTAGCAGTTTCCCCTCCCATCTTCGGAGATAACCTGGGTTTTACAGACTTGGCCTCCGCTCAGGTTTTTTCTCTTTTACTTTTTGCTATAATTTATTCTGAAACTTTAGAAAGGAAATTAAAGGATTATACCCCCCCTGCCTCATCCCAGGCACCCGCAGGGGTGTTAGAGCCGCGCTTTTGCCACGGAGGCTGCGGCTCCTGGGCACAGGCGCCGCCCGGCCTGTCCGGGGATGCTCTTCGCCCTTGCCGGTCCTCAGGTGCGGCACGAAAAGCCCTCATCTGCTGTAAAAAAACAAAGGATAAATCTAGTTTTCATGAACTCCTTGTTTCATGGGTGAGTTGGTTGCATTTATTTACCAAAATGCCTTGTGGGAAAGTGTGAGAAAAAAATCCAACTCCGTTCCAGTGCACCTCCCCAGTTCAGGGATCTCCCTTAAGCGGAGAAATGCTGTGAAGGCCAGCTTTTTGTGTCCTCAGGGCCAACAACGGTGCCAGAGGCAATGCTCCCTGGGGAAGAGCCTTTCTGCAGCTTCTTCCCACGCCGGAACGGTTTTAGCTGCTGCTCCAATCCCTTGACATGCACACGCTGGGCTTTGCAAACCCAGGCTGCCTTGGCACCACACTCAGCGTGCAGGGGTGGACCGTGACACAATGGAGGATGCTGGTCTCGGAGTTCGGGCACAGATCGTGGATTTACCTTTAACGGAGAAAGGGGAAAGGGACTGCACCTGATAACGGTAAAATGCTGCCCGGGTGTACCAGGGGCTTTTTCCTCGCTCAGCACGGAGACCGTAAGGATCAAAGTCTTGACAAATGGAAGCATGATGTAATGCCCCGGCCCCATCAAAGACTTTGTCCTGAAAATGATATCTTCGTCAGGATCGCAGAAATTAGCGGTTTGATAGATGTGAGAGGAGTCAGGTCTGCTCGGTTTCGTTGGGAGTAAATCCGAAGTAACCTCTGACGTTCATTCCAGATTTATTCCATTGCATTTCCCATTTCCTTCTCATCCAGGAAGTAGGCAAAGACGATCTGAGAATCTCGCTATTCCACACGCCCCCAATCCTTTCGTTAAATGACCAAAGTATCCATTATATGTCGCCTTTAATCCGCCGAGGCAGAGATAGGCGGGAAAGGTGAGATTAGCCATTGTGGCTTTTAAGACTGGGTACCATTTTCTTCTTTGTTTAAAGAAATTCAGCACTTTCTCCCATTAATCTTTAGCAGGGAAAGCGTTCAGCCCGCACCTGTATAAACAACCCAGATGGGGGTAAAAAGTAAACCTATATCTCCTTCCCTGCAGTATCTTTTATATATATATATATATACATATATTTATACGGATAATGTAGGCTAATTGGGGGAGGCAGAGCAACCCCCAGGTCCAGCGCGCTGCCCTTTCACCGTGCAGCGTGTGGGACCCAGCCTGAGCATCGTAGTGTCAAACCAAGTTCAAGAGATCCAGTTGCAAGATCAGCTGCCTGTTTAGGTGGTTCAAGAAATGTCAAGTTTCACTTGGAAAGGCTGCCGTTAAACCCGGCTCTGATGTGGTTGTAGCCCCAGTGGGTGAAGCTGGGGTTTGCACAGCGTTAAGTGGCCTCAGTGAACCCGCAAGGCTGCCGGAGAGGGGAGCAAAACGCTGGGTGTAAAGGTGCAAAGGCACCCGGCGGTGCCAGGAAAGTTGCGTGGCAGCAGCTGGGAAGGTTCCGCTTGGCCGGGAGGGAAATGGAAGAGAAAAAGCGTGAGCAAAAATTGCGGGACAAGATCTTTCCACCTGTTGTAGTCATTAGGTTCTTTTCCGAGAACTGCATTTTTATTCTGTTTAACTCTATCCAGGCTGTGAAGGCCAGCGAGGAATCAAGCGCTCGTTCTTCATTTGGAAAAGAAGGGATGTTTTGAGGGATACAAGTTGATTTTTTTTTTTAATTTATTTATACCCCTGTTTAATTTGCATATCAGTATTTCCATTGGATATAGAGTCCTCCACTCGCCTATGGACTCTCTAAAAACTCTACTATGGAAGTTGTTTTAAAAGCCTGCCAGTAGCTTGAAAAGCTCTCTTTTCGTTTGCTCTGTGACACGGAGGTGGACATAGCCAAATTAACTAGGTTTTAATTAATTACTCTGAGGACGGAGAAGCCCTTGGACACGCTGCCGTCTTCACCCCAAATTACTGACGCTATCAAACCACAGTACACACGTTCCCAGCGACTTTTTGCATTGTTCCCCACATATCGCACACCCACCCCTGGGTGCCGCGTCTCCTGCTGCCTCTGCCCGCTTCGGTGGCGGCACGGGGATCGCACAGCCGCTTCCCGGAGCTGGGCAGGCAGCGGGCAGGGGACCCCGTCCTGCCACACCGCTCGGCTGCGGGGAGCGGGGCTGCGCACCATCTCATATGTTGGGAAAATCCTCCGCCCTCGAAAAGCAAGAAAGGGAGCGAGTGTAGGTGGGCTGGGAGCAGTCCCGGGTAGAGCTTAGCCATAGAGGCAGGGAGCAGTGCCCCGCTACCCGCGAAAACACCGGCGGGAAGAGCCTTGGAAGTATTTTACATCCTCCGGGGCGAGGAGAGGGGTCTGTCCCAGAGGAAAGGAGTTTATTCACTCGGCGGCGATACTCCCAGGAGCACACGCACCTGGAGACATCCCCGCATGTTCCCGCATGTGTGTGCCCCACAAACGGGTCCGTCTCTGCGCTCCGCCGCGGACCGCGGGACAGCGCGGAGAGGCCCCGCCCCCGGCGCGGAGCTTCGCTGCTTTCGACCCGCGCCCCTCTCCTCCCCTCCGCCCGGCAGATGGTTCGCTCCTCGGACACCCGATATATAGGGCTGTCAAGGGGCGCATCCCCTCCGCGCCCCCCGCGCCCCCGCCCCGGTACGAACTCTCCGCGGCGGGGACGCCCCGCTCTGGGCCGACTCGCCCCGGCCGTCCGCCCCCTCCTGCCTGCCGCGCTGCCCGCCTCCCTGCCCGCCCGGGGCCATGTCCACGGGCTCCGGCAGCGAGGCGGAGGAGCTGCCCGAGATGGACCTGCGGGCGCTGCAGCTGGACTACCCGCAGCCGCCGGCCAAGCGCCAGCCCCGCGGTGAGCTCTATCCCTCGGGGGACAACTCCTCGGCGGCGGAGGAGGAGGAGGAGGAGGAAGAAGAGGAGGAGGAGGACGGCGAGGGCAACTGCGCGGCGGGGCCAGCGGGCAGCGGCTGCAAGAGGAAGCGGGCGCGGGGCGGCGGCCCCGGGGGCAAGAAGGCGGCGTCGGGGCCGCGGGGGCCTCCGCCCGAGGGGAAACAGTCCCAGCGCAACGCGGCCAACGCGCGGGAGCGAGCGCGGATGCGGGTGCTGAGCAAGGCGTTCTCCCGGCTGAAGACGAGCCTGCCGTGGGTGCCGCCCGACACCAAGCTCTCCAAGCTGGACACACTGCGCCTGGCGTCCAGCTACATCGCCCACCTCCGGCAGCTGCTGCAGGAAGACCGCTACGAGAACGGCTACGTCCATCCAGTCAACCTGGTACGCGCGGCGCGGGGGGCGCGGGGGCGGGATGCGCGGCGAGGGGCACCCTCGGAAAACCCCCGGGGGGCCGTCCGGGATAGCCCCGCAGGCCCGGCCCCGCGGGTCTCGGCTGGCAGCGCTCAGGCCGTGCCCGCCCAGGAAGAAGCGGCGGGGCGGACCGGGCTGCTTCGTGAATCCCCAGCCACCCTCGCCCCGGGGGCGACCCGAGCGCCGGGCTCGGCCTTGGGTGGTGGCGGGTGTGTCAGTCCTAGGGAGTTGGAGTAGGGGACCTTAAAGAACTACATTCCTCGGGCATTAGGCAAGCTTAGTGTCCTAAGAAGGAGTAACTCGGTCTGCGGGCTGGCCGGGAGCACCAGGCAAGCCGTCATGAGTTCATCGGGCCAAAACTAAACGCCCGATGCTTGGTCACAGGGGTAAAAAGGTTTCTTATATACAGTAGAGTGATTGTTTTTGAGTATTTTATATGCTTTTTATTTATTAAATGATGCAAACAGTTGCAAGGCAAGGGAAGCGTTGCATTTTGGATGAGAACAATCTGTTGCTGACCATTGCAGCCCTTCTGCAGAGCATTTAATTATAATGAAAAACATAGTGAAAATATTTGTAAGAGGAGCTCAGCTCTCTCTGTGCTTCCCACAGGGACTAAAACATGATGACGTGTTTGCAACTGAACCAGAGTTAGACATCTATCAGTAATAAAGCTCCAGTTTCATACAAGAATAAACTTTCTTTTAAATATGAAATACCTCTTCTTTTTGCTTACAGACTTGGCCATTTGTGGTTTCAGGAAGACCTGACTCTGACACCAAAGAAGTTTCTACAGCCAGCAGATTATGTGGAACTACCGCATAGTCAGAGTAAATTGAGGATTTTTAATTGGTTTTGATTTTTTTTTTTTAATGGGATGGATATTTTTAAGAGCTGTGGTTTATCGGCTCAGGACTCGAAGATGGGGACAAACCCCCATCTATAACAGTGTTAAATCTGTGTCCCTTGTCATTCTTTTCCCTTAGAGTTCTGAGGGATGTTTACTTAAAGCAGTAAAGAAGGGAGGCAGTTGAAATTAGACTTTTTATGAACTGACTGCAGCAGCTGAAGTCCGAGACTTGGCTTCATCATTCCTGCCCCTACCTGAGGACCTACTGTTCTGAGGCTTTTAATGAGAGAGGAATATAATGATATAGAATTAGCAGCATGGACCAAAATACAACTCTACAAACTAACCCTGAACAGTGTTATTTGTATTGTAAATCAAAACAGTATTTTAAAGTAGCTTTGAAACTCAGATAGATTTATAATATATTTTGATGGCCTTTGTAGTCATGCATTTGGTTTACTGCAACTATGCAATAACTATAGTCATACTTCTTTTTTTCATCCCTCTAACCAGAGTTTTCTTAAAACTGTGTAAGAGGCCACATTCTGCCTTTAGGCTACCATCCATTGGAATTAAACTAACTCCTTTGGTTATATCTTGAAGTGCCACATGTAAGGATGTGGGACTGTCACTAAAATTGTGGTGGAGTTTCTGTACCTTAATCTAGAAGGGAATTTTGCTCACTGTATGGCAAGGGTGCATGTTGTTGAAAAGAATGAGTTTGTATGATGTTGCAAAATAACAAGAATTCACAATGTTTTAAATATTTTTACTGTACTGTTATGCTTATCTATGAAAAGTTTGCTCTCAAATGAGTTACAGTGTCATTTTTTAACGGATTAAAATGTTGTAATAAAAGAAGACGCCATCAAATAAGTTGCAAATGTAAATAACTCTATTTTTTTATAAATTACATTAAAGGTTTGGTTACAATGAATTACTGGCACTGTGATACTGTGTGTCTGCATCCATATGCGAGCGTCTTTGTAATGCATGTTCGTGAAACCTGCTTTTGTAAACACAGTTATCTTCCTCACCTCTTTAGAGCAGATACATCTACACAACAGAGTCAGATAAGAACATTATCACCCCAAACATTTCACGTGAGGCACAGCACTATATCAATAAGCAGGGAAAGACACATTTTTACCATTTACAGAATGCATTGTAACAGTCTCTTCTGTGATGGAGAAATATAAATAAATGTAGATTAAGAAATCGATATCATATACTGTAATAGCTTGTTTTGCTGTTCTTTGTCATTTCACATTTCTATCTGTAGTCTGTTTTGCTTTTATTTGTATTTTTGCAGTGGGAAAATCAGATGAGTTTTCCTAGTTGGAGCAGAATTTTCCTGTTTTAAGATTGAAACTCCTAAGATTTTATTTTTCTCAAAAGACTTCACCGGTGGTTAACTCACAGTAAGGAAGACAGAATTTTTTTAGAGAAGGAAAAGCCACATCTTCCTCATATAAGCAGTGAGGAGGAAGAAATGTTTGCTTAACAAGGAAAAGTTTAACCTATTTCGTTGTCAGATCATCCTACATCATGGATTTCTGGTTTGACATACTGCATAGAAACCCAAGACTGACTATTAGTGGTGTCTTGTAAGTAGGCAAACTGCAGATAATGGCTTTTCTTCTTGTGAAATTTAAAATAATCCAGAGTCACAGCAAAATAAGATGAGCAATTAGTCCAAGATCTGCTGAAATGGTTGCTTTTAGTGATTTGGGGCAAGCTGTCCAGAGGCTATAATATAACTTATCTTCCTTTTTTTTTTTTTTTTTTTTTTTCCAGATAAAGACTGTGAAGGAAGGGGGCTATCCTGATTTGCAGTTATGTAACTGAGGTGGTACTTCAACTGACCTTCTCTAGGAAGCTTTATAAAAAGAAAAGAACATAAACAGTAAAGCAAAAAGGAAGGACCTTTAGGAAGGCATAAGTTATAAGAAAACTCAGCCAATGTTTATCTAAACCCTAGAGAAAAGATTATTCAGCAGTTTAACTAAGGTACCACTTGAGATAATCTCAGTTGTGATATTTAGCTGGTTTTGGCCTTGATCCCAGCTCTAATTGGTTAATGACTCTTGGAGATCAGAAAAACAAGGAAAGCTGGAGAAGTTTAAACAGTATAGAAAGGTCCATGCAAAGTAATGGAAAAAAAATGTTCGGGGTATATTCCCAAATATAAAGTGGTTATATTAAGTAAATACAGTAGGTCAAAACTGGGGGTGAGGAGTGTAACACAAAGTAAAACATAGGATTGCTTCCATCCATGCACCATACTACATGACCTCAAATACTTTTTATTTTGTGCCTACATAATATATAAAAATACTTTCTTCATAAAGTAATGAATGCACTTCCTGCACTTGTTATGGTAACAGATACATGGTACCCCAACAGACTGTCAGTGGTTTTAGAGTAGAAGTAAACAACGGCCACAGGTGACATTTCAGGTCAAAAACTGGAGAGAAAATGACAGCTTTTAGATATTGAATGTTGTATAAAACTCAAGTTCTTTCCTTTAAACACGTCTATACAGAGATACATGTCTTAGTGTATATTTCTCTTAATATGGCGGTTAGGGATGTTTGGATTTCTCCAACAAGGATATTATATTTCAAATCATTAATTTAAATCCTTGGGTTCATAAATATTCTTTTAAAAAGCAAAGTAATCATCTTCTCTCTCCATGAGAGGCATTATGCGATTGGGAAAAAGCTCAGGCAATTGAACAGGCTCCTTGTGGATTTGTCCTGAGATGAGGGCTGCCATCTTTCCAGGGAAGTGCCAGGTAGGTCACGTGTTCTGGCATTCCTCACCTATGAAGACATACCAAAAATACATGCATTCATTTTTGAAACCTTTGAAACTCACAAACAGCTAAAATTCAGTTCAGTGCTTTATATGAATGAAGCGATCAAAACATTCTAAAATGCTATTTTTTGACCATTTGAGATTCCATAGAAAGATAATGTGTTTTGGTCCTTCTTCTTTTTCATCTTTTTTTTTCTTTTTTTTTTAATCAAGTTTTTACCAACTCCATAGAATAAATTGATTTCATTTTTAAAGTCTGAATATTTCCTTTGACTGGATAATTCCAGAGCTGTGTGGAGGGGAGACTTAAAATACAAAACTACCTCACATTTCTACAGTTCACAAGCACAGAAGGTAAGAAATACATACATTTTTATTAGATTTGACAAGTTTACACTTGGTGATTTTTTTGTTACATTTATGACATCTTTGTTCCTTGGCACAAGGTAAAGCATGAACCCATCTTGATCCCACAGAGTTATGCAGATTAAAGTTATGCAGATTAAAGCTGTTTTACAAATAAAACGTCAAATCATCTGCAACTGCTATTCAGCCAAGACCTCCTGCATGTGAAATCCTAATGGCAGAATACCTGCAATGACTTTCCTGGCAGACAGTCCACATAGAAGGAGAAACACTTGTCTCCCCAAAATATTTTTATGACTTTAGACTGATATAGATGCTGTGTGGAACTTTGTTTTGTCTCTATTCTGTGTGGGAATCTGATAGAGCAGATCATTAGCATCTCTCCTGAAACCATTCCTTTCCAATGCATGTGTTTGGTTACACAAGGAAAATACATCCATCATATTGAAAATGTTAACAATTCTGAACTGAGCAAAATAAACACAGTTTGTGTATAAAAAATACCTAAGCCTTACCTTTCCCATTTAGTGCCTTTATATACATACTATTTAAAGAACTCTCAGATACGCTAAGGATTCTAAATAAAAATTTTGAGTTTATCGGCTAAGTAAAGGTGACTGTAAGAAGAACAGTTGCTATAGGGGTCTCCCAGGAGAAAGAGGGAGTTGAAGAAATCAATTTTAATATCTTAATAAGTATCTGAAATTTACTCTGTCTCCTTATTTACTCTAGAAGGATCCTAAGGTGACCAGCTGCGTGATTCAGTTAAATATCTAATGCTTCAGTTAACTGTCTAAAGTTGGGAGGGATACAAGCAGGTTTTAATGTATGAACTTTATATGAACCAAGGAAGCTAAAAAGAAGGAAGAAGGGGAATTTAGTGCCACCCGCTAATATAAGCTTACAGTAACCTTATAAGCAAATAATAAATACATTATTTGGATGAAATAACTTGGAAAGCTGTCTGTTCTACTGTGCAATAGTCACCTCTTCACAAGTAACTAATTCTATATAATAACAAATTTGCATTTGGTATGGCAGTGCAGATTCTCACCATGACTAATAGCAACTATACCTAAGAATTAGGTTCCACCACTGGACAGTGTTTATCATACTTCACTCCAGCTGAAAGAGGTGTACACAGATATTTTCTGCTGTGCACAGAGAGGGATGCTGAGCTGCCTTCCAAATGCTAAATATCTAAATCCATATTTTTAATATATTCTGGCAGGAGTGCAGTGGAATCAGTTGCTACATTATTCAGAGACCTGTGCTATTGCAGTGCAGGCTGGTTAGTATTCAGGTACTAAGAAGGGACGGATCTCACTCTCTTCCTCAGCTCTGAAAAATTTGTAAATGCAAATTAGTAAAAAATAACTAAAAATGCCTTACTTGGAATGCAACACATGAGAGTCTCACTAGAGTTAAAATTCCAACAAAAGTTAAAGACAGCTGGAGGGTTCATATAGTTATCTATCCAACAAGACAAGCAAAACTGAGAACTTGTGGCTGATGCACAGCTGAAGAATCACTCCTGTAATGTTGGGGTGCTGACAGTCTGAGAGTCTGTATCTGGGACTAGAAATATGTGGCAACACTCAGAAGAACTATAATTAACCTCGATGGGACTGGAATTCAGCAAGCAAAGGAAATCACCCAATATTGTCATGGTGGTGAAATTATTAAAAAGAATTCACATTTCCAAGGTTAAAAATAATTCAGAATCTGACAAGAGAAGTTCTCTATGACAACAAAGAAGGCAGAGCTATGAGTCAGAATACATACACAAACACAACCCCAACCCAAACAAACAGACTGCATCACTTTATAAGAGTTTATGAAGACCTGAGCAGTGAGCACAGCATATATGAAAGGCATGGACAACATCAGTTTTAGCTTAGAGTAATTTTCACAGAAACAACAAGAATAAGATAAATGGATAGTAATCAGAAAATTAATGGATCACTTTTTGATTTTAATTCCAAGTTGCTGTGATGGCAGAAGCAACATCATTAGTAGTGTAAATCCCATAGTCAGTAAAAGGAGTAAATGTAGGCATACAAAATTGAGATTGGAACAGCACAAGCAATTATTGTATTCTTTGAATATAATCAGTATGAAGTTTAAATCAGTTCATGTCCTTAGTGTCATCAAGAGGGCATGCCATCTAGAAGAAAAGGGGATCAAACTGAATCGGAAGTCTTTTGCAACAAGGACCTGAAAGATTCCA